AAATGAAGAATAGGGAATATAGCTCTGCAGTGTTGCTTTCATGCTGTGATAAGATTTATTGTTGTTGTTGTTATTTATCCCTCGCTTTTCTCCAAAAAGATTTACTAAGAAATGTTTTAGTAAAGGTTGAAATGACTACATACTCTCAGTTATTGTCAGTTAAAATATTGGTTTCAAGTGAGCAAAACAATTTACATTTTTAATAAACAAAAGATAACTCTTGATTGAAAAGTTGTGCATCACTCTTGATTCCTACTTAGACCATTATTTGAAGTATAAATAAAAAGTGAGCTTTGTTTATTCATTCAGTTGCTTCAGACCTCATGGACCAAGCTATGCCAGAGCTCTCTGTGAGCTACTTCACTTAATAATGGAGCAAGGAGGATGTTTCATGATATGTTTTTTAAACAGAGAAAGCGTAAAATGTAACACATTTTTAATACTGAAAACCACAAATAACAGAGAATCTTAAAGTAGGCATGGACAAACTTCAGCCCTCCGGGTATTTTGGGTTTCAACTCCCACAATTCCTAACACCCAGTAAGCTGGCTGGGATTTCTGGGAGTTGAAGTCCAAAATACCTGGAAGGCCAACGTTTGCCCACACCTGTCTTAGAGACTGCCAAAATACCCCCAGTGAACTTATTGTAGCTTTTTTTCTGAAGAGACATACATAGAATTGTACAGCAAGTAGTTTACTTTACACATTGGATTTCTTACAAGATTTTTCATTTTCCATCCAAGTCTTTATTTGATATAGTTAGCAAAATTAATCAGATGACCAACTGTGGAAAGCTAGGATCAACTGTCAAACAAACCAGCTTGATAACTTCAAGTGCAGGTGGAATAAAACATAATCGGGAGAAACCATTTGATGCCATGAATAATATTGTGGCAAATTTGCTGTTAAACTTGACAAGGTAAGATTTTGACATTTCTATTCCTAAAATAAATAATTATTATACTTTTTAAACATCTTGTTGAAAATAGCCTTGGAAATTTTCCAAATCAATCATAGTAGTTGTTTCATTTGAAGACAGAAGATGCTAATTTCACAGGATGGGATGTGTCAACACAAGGAGGAGAAGGTTTAACCTTATGGCAGGCATCCTCAAACTGCGGCCCTCCAGCTGTTTAGGCCTTCAACTCCTAGAATTCCTGACAATTGAACAAGCTTGTTAGGGCTTCTGGGAGTTGGAGGCCCAAACAGCTGGAGGGCCGCAGTTTGAGGATGCCCGCCTTATGGCATGCATTTTGTGCACTCACCAAAACGGGTGGTTAGGAGCCTCTCTAGGCCAAGTACCTTTATCAATCCCAAAATATTAGTGACAATTATAGGAAATTGTATGACTTACCAGTATGAGTTAAATATTCAAAATAATAAAGAGTTATTATTTTCATCTGCTTTTTTCAATGACCAAAAATTTAACCAGTATCGTTTTTTAAAAAATCTTGTTTTACCTGCATCATCTTCAGTTCTGCAAGGTTTGAAGGCTCACTTAATATGGATCTTAATGAAATCAGCATGAATTTGGTTCCCTTTCCAAAACTTCATTATCTGGTTTCCAGCTTGACACCTCTGTATACACTGGCAGACGTTAACGTACCTCCACGAAGGTGGGTAATTTTGTTTGACATTGTTACAGTTTGCAATGGGGCTGCCATATTAGTCTGTTGCAGAAAAAAACAAGGAAGATTCTTGTGACACCTGACAGTCTAGCAATCTTTTGTTTTTGTTTGATATGACATGAATGACAGCTGCTTTCTATCTGCGGATGAATTTGATTCTCCATAGTAACATCCATAAAAAGAAAGATAACTGAGCGGAATCTGTCCTCTTCTGTAAAACATAAGTTTTTAAGGTGCCACTGGACTATTTGTTTTTTTTTTATCTTGTGGTCATTCAAAGCCACCGCAGCAAAATTGGCATATTTTTCAAACTATGTAGAGCTACTGTTCTAGTTTTATTTGGCACATATCCAGAAGTTGCTTACTGGGCAAATGCTGTGTTTTTGGTTAATATTGTTAAGTACTGTGGGCTGTTCTTTCTCTCTCTTAGGTTGGACCAAATGTTTTCAGATGCTTTTAGCAAAGATCACCAACTGTTACGAGCTGATCCAAAACACAGCTTGTATCTTGCCTGTGCCCTCCTAGTCAGAGGAAATGTACAAGTTTCAGATCTTCGTAGAAACATTGAAAGGTTTGCACGTAATATATATTAAGAGAGTGAATTATTAACTGTTTATATAGCAGACCTTCATAGTTGGTGTTTGTTCATAAGACTAAAGCTTCTGTTAATCCTTTCCTTCACGCATGGTTGTGCCCGTGGGTGAAGAATCATGTTCTTAATTATCCAGAGGGATTTATGCAGTTTAGTTAATTTTTCTTGAAATAGATTTATTTGTAAAAAAATATAGTTCTACTAGATTTGCATATAATTTTTCATGGAGCATAGCATCTCATCCCTAGGAATCCCATTGACATTTTACTCCAACATACACTTGTCTTTTAATGGAACACAATTTAGAAGAATCAATAATTGTATTTAACAATATGGTGGCTTTCTAGTGAAGTCATATGAAAGCAYAACTAGGGACAAGTACAGGCAGTCCCCAAGTTACGAACAAGATAGGTTCTGTAGGTTTGTCCTTAAGTTAAATTTGTATATAAGTTGGAACAGGTAAATTTTAAAGTGTAATTCCAGGCAGAGGTATATAGGGGGGGGGGGAGGGGCGTGCTTTGGATAGCATAAGGAAGGATTAACACCCCTGTGGAATTTGTCTTGCTGTCTGTGCCCCAGTTCAGAAGATTTCACCTCACTTTCTGTCCCTGTAGTAATTGRATTTTGAAAAAAAAATAYTTGTGGAAATAAGAACTCGTGATAAAGTTTCAGTTAAGACTCCTTTTCCCTATGATAACTCTTCCAGGAGTGAATTCCCCTTCTTGGGAGTAGATTTCTTGTCCTTCTTGTTACTCGCCCGTTCTTAACTAACAGTGGTTTATATGTCAGAGGTTTGTAACTCGGGGACTGACTATAATCAATTCTGCCATTCGCGTTCTTGCTTTGTGTAGAACTTACTTTATTGCCTGCCTTTTTTATGAACTCCAGATTTGTTGTTTGCAGGATGAAGCCATCACTCCGGTTTGTCTCCTGGAATCAAGAGGGATGGAAAACTGGCTTGTGTTCAGTGCCTCCTGTGGGCCATTCCCACTCTTTATTGGCGCTGGCCAATAACACTTGCGTGAAACCCACTTTCATAGAACTCAGGGAGAGATTCATGATGCTGTACAAGAAAAAGGTGTGCCATGGAAAAAGTAATGTAATTTTACCAAATTCATTTGTGCTTATAGGTGTTATACTCATTATTGGAAACATGGTACTAAATGTGTGTATGTGCTCCAAGTCACCTGGTTATTTATGGTGACCCCATGAATTTCATGGGATTTTGGGGGGCAAGGAATAGTCCTTTGAAATGCTGTACTGAATGATGGCTTCTCTCCCAGCTGTACTTGGACTCTGAAGAGACTATGAAATGCGTATTTCATACATTCTTCATCACACAAGTTCATGTGTCAAGATTATAACCTGCTTTTCGGTATGGGGGAAAACAGACTTGCAGCATTGAACAATCCATTTATTTGTTTCATTTTATCCAGTTAAATATATGACTAAAATATTTTCTCTTGCAGGCTCACCTTCATCATTACCTGCATGTTGATGGGATGGAGCAGAGCAATTTCTCCGAAGCCCTTTCATCTTTGACAGATTTAATAAAAGAATATAATCAACTAGATGCTTCTAATTGTGGACCAGCCATAGATCCTCCTAGACTTGAGATAGCACTATAACAATTGAGGAGTTCAGTAAAGAGAACTGTGAAGACACTAGGAAGCTATGTCAAATGTGATCTAGTCCAGATTGAACACTGTTATGTCAAGTTTCAGTGCTGAAATTACTAGGTAATATTTTGACTGGATTACATTCTTCAGAGATTGTCTTTTGTAAGCAAGATTGTCTCAAAGGACAATGGATACATTTAGTTTCACATCATATTTGATATTGCATATTGTCACATTTTGCATATTTATGTACTATGTTTTTTTAAACTACAATACTGTGCTTGAAGATACTTCTGTATGTACATTACCAAAACAAACATTTTGTATAATTGGGGCTTTATTTGTAAATATTTATCATAAATGATATTTTTATTAACAGTTTCATTTATAAAATAAAATATATATTTAATTAAACTATAATTCAGCGTCTTAATCAGTGATTATAGCAAATACAATACAGCATTGTTTACAACACTTCCCAGTTAGATATATGATGACCCATTACCCCAGTGTCCTGCTTAGAGCTTGACAGCATAATAACAGCCCTAATTCTAAATAGAATGAGTGTCTGATATAGCCATTACTCTATCCTCAGAACATACTGAAGCTCAAATATATTGTACTACTAAATTTGACTTGAATTGCACTGAGGTTTCAATTACACTGTGACTTCTGTTTGCATGCAGAACTCACATCTAGAAATATTGAGGGAGACAACATGATTTTAACTAGAAAGGATTCATTCTCTGGAAATGATTTTGGTGAATAAGAAGTTGCAAGAGAGAAGAGAAACATACAAATCTTGCCACATCCCACTGATCTGCATAAGCAACTAGCTCATTGGATTTATCCACTACACACGTTTTGATTCAGTTCATTACCTACTAAACTCTTTAAAGCAGATTGCACAGGAAATTCTCATCAGAACAATAAGAAAAAATGTAAGAAAATTGCACAACTGCTTTGTTTTGTCCTTTTAACTGATGAGAAAAACATTTATTTCTTTGATTTATATCTCACTTTTCTCACAAATGGGATTCACAGCAGTTATCAAAGCACTTACCAGTTTGTGTTTACCAAAGGCATATAAACACAAACTGCCAAGAAGGCTACATAATTGGCTTCAATTATGCAAAATATTCTACAATTATTTCACTGATCTTGAATGTATATGAAGCATTGATAGATGCAACTGGCTTTTGAAATCTAGAAAACGCCCTGTAGTTGTTTAACTGGAATATACAGTGCATTCCACTTCTTTTTACAATAATGTACATTTTGAAAGGGGCAAAATGTTTTGATTGAAAAATCAATATATTCATTGGTTGTTCATATTGACATTTGATCACTTTTCCTCACATACTGCAATTCATATTATCTACAAAAGTTTGAGTTCAGAAAACATATCTTTTGGGTCATGGCACGTCTTCTGACAAACGCAAGATGTAATCCACATCATCTTCCATTTAAAGGTGCCTTCCTTGGAGCAGTCAAACTGTACTGTAATCATTATAGACTTGTTGGGTATACAGCATCTCTTGTCCAGGCAGATTCCACAAAAGATTGGCTTGTACCTTTGTCTGCTTTTGCATCCAGAAAAGGCTAGTTTCTCTGCTTTGGGGAGCTGAAATGTAGGCTGACATGTTTTTCCTTTAGGAATCTTAAAATAGAAAAAGTGGTCATGTTATCTTCCAAATAAAATTTATTATACAATATAACCCCTGATATCCATGAGGAATACATTTCTGGATTTCTGTGAATATGTGAAATGGGATAAAAGCAAGCCCTACTGTATTGAAGGACTTCTGGCCTAGGAATACCATAAGCAGGCTTGTACAATCTATGGCTCTCCAAGTGTTTGGGACTCCAGCTCCCAGAAGCCCTACTCAATCTGTCCAATGATCAGGAATTCTGGGAGCTGAAGTCCAAAATACCTGGAGGGCCATAGGTTGTGCAAGCCTGCCATAGAGTCATACTGGAGAAAACGCCTAGAGCAGGGATCCTCAGACATTTCAAACAGAGGGCCAGGTCACAGTCCCTCAAACTGTTGGAGGGCTGGATTATAATTTGAAAAAAACATGAATGAATTCCTATGCACACTGCACACATCTTATTTATAGTGCAAAAAACACTTAAAAACAAAACGGTAATTAAAATGAAGAACAATTTAAACAAATATAAACTTATTAATATTTCAATAGGAAGTGTGGGCCTGGTTTTGGCTGATGAGGTAGGATTGTTGTTGTCTGCTTTCAAGTCGTTTCAGACTTAAGTTGACCCTGAGCGAGGGCCGGGTAAATGACCTTGGAGGGCCATAGTTTGAGGACCCCTGGCCTAGAGAGAAGACATAGTTTGTCAGACATAGGTAAATGAAACAAGATACTGGTCCTGTACAGGGGTCATACTGCATTCAGGTAGATGCGACAGCAGCATTCAGGTCCAGCTTTAGTTGCTGTTACATCAAATATAAGATAAAATTTCAGCCTTGTAAAGGTTTTCCCCTGACATTAAGTCCAGTCGTGTCCAACTCGGGGGGTTGCTGCTCATCTCCATTTCTAAGCCGAAGAGCCAGCATTGTCCTCCAAGGTCATGTGGCTAGCATGACTATACGGAGCACCATTAACTTCCCAACAGCTTCCCGCTGTCTGGCAACCTATTGATCTACTCACATTTGCATGTTTTCAAACTGCTAGGTTGGCAGAAGCTGGGGCTAATAACAGGAGCTTATGCCGCTCCTCGGATTCGAACCTGCAACCTTTCGGTCTACAAGTTTAGCACCTCGCTGCACCACCGAGGGCTCCCTTATATACAATAGCAATTTAGCCTACACATTTTGCTGTCCGGCAACTGAGTTTCCTGCCACTAGCCAAAGTCTTGTGATGTCATCAAGGGAATAGGCATCATATATCCATGATGCCTAAAATTCATATCAGCACTTTGCCTATGTCACTAGATTTTCTGGTGCTCAGAATGGACAAGTCATTTAGGGAATCTAGCCATTTGATTTAGAAATCATAGATAGTCACTGAAACAATCTCTTCTCATTTTCCAGTTGTGCAGAGAAGAAATGCACAATTGGAAAATAAAATTGGTTAGTTACTGTTTTCATGCCATACATGAATGCTTTCAGAAAAGACCCACACCTGTCTAAGGGATGAGCTCTTATTACTGCTTTCCTAGTCCTAAAAATGCAGGATAAATAATACACCCAGGCTTCCATAACTGCATAGCAATATTCCACTCCACCCTCCATAACATGGCATATACTCAGTTCTTTTAAAATCAACTGTTCTGTAAATTTGTATTATGTGCCAAAAGAGAATATGGTTTTCTACACTACAATTTACCTTTACTGTTGTTGAAAAATTTGCTCGGCATGGTTGAATGTAGCACAGTCTCTTCTCTTTCCTCATTTCACATTTACGGTTTTCATTGGTCACTCGATCAGATATACCTATCCCACAGGTTCGAGAACAAGGTGTCCATGGAGTTGCTTGTACTAGGCATTTCTTCTTCAAAACAAGTGGTATGCTTCTGAAAGCTAGGAAATAGAAATATATCACATGTTGAACTGTGTCCAAAAATACCAGAACCACTAAACTTCCAAGTGTGCTCATTATTAAGTCAGCCAAAACAAGATAGTAGACAAACAAATACATTGTTTTGTACTGGTTAGAACATTGAAGCAGAGGTTTACAGAACTATTCATTGGATTTGTGCCATCTCCAGTTCCATAAATATTTACAGGCATTTGACACCTCAGAAGACTGGCATGTTTCATAGCTTACACCGTTTTTATATCTATTAGTCTAAAGGTTGCTGCAGAATATATATATTCCCCAGATAATTCCTATATAATATCCTATCTTGTACAGCTAATGTAAAAATGGATGAGAGACCTCTAGCCCTGCACATGTGCTGATTTTTTTCTGATTTTTTAGAAAGGATTGAAGTTGAAGATTATGTTTCCATATTCCATTTCCAAAACATTCTGAGTACTAATACTGTGTATTAAGCCTGCCTTGTAAATCTCCATATAGCAAACTCTGGTCAGATTTGAAATATGCACAGTTTAGAGGACAGAGCAGAAATATAAGGGTACCTGGGCAGTAAGCAGCAGCTTTAAAATCTCAGTGCAGGAAGCAAATTTTAAAAACTGGCACAGATCTGAAATAAATAAAGCAAGGTTATTTGTATATATAAATATATGTCTATATTTATTGCACTGATAACTAGAACAGTGCACGAAGGAAGCAGGAGAGGTAGAAAAATATTAAAATAAAGCTTGGTATTGGGCAAGATAATTTAAACAATTAATTGTAAATCATGCAAATCATGCATTAATTAAGTATCAATAACAAGCTGCTTAGATCATTATTTAAGTTCTGAGCATTTTCATCTAAGTAAGACTACTGTAAAACTTTATGTTTAATCTGCCCTTACTCGAGTTTTGCTATGTTGCTACTTAATGCTATTCTGCCTTCGTCAGACCACATCTAGAATACTGTGTCCAATTCTGGACATCGCAATTTAAAGGAGATGTTGACAGGCTGGAATGTGTCCAGAAGGGGGCGACTAAAATGACCAAGGATCCAGAGAACAAGCCCTATGAGGAACAGCTTAAAGAGCTGGGTATGTTTAGCCTGAAGAAGAGAAGGCTGAGAGGAGACTTGATGGCCAGTATAAATACAAGGGAAAGTCATAGGGAGGAGGGAACAGGCTTGTTTTCTGCTGCCCTGGAGACTAGGACGTGGAGCAATGGCTTCAAACTACAAGAAAGGAGATTCCATCTGAACATTAGGAAGAACTTCCTAACTATAAGAGCTGTCTAGTAGTTGAACTCTCCTTCTTTGGAGGCTTTTAAACAGAGCCTGGATGGGCATCTGTCGAGGTGCTTGGAATGCGATTTTCCTGCTTCTTGGTAGAAGGTTGGACTGGATGGCCCATGAGGTCTCTTCCAACTCTATGATTCGATTATTCTAATTAATGTCTTTTTATTTTAAAAAAATCTGATTTTTAGAGTAAAAAAAATGTCTTAAGTAACACCAAGTGATTGCTTTGTCCTGTCTCCAATTGTATCCTTTCTTTCTGAAATTTTCCATTATTAAATAAGACATTCTGCTTGGAATCAGAAGCTTGGTGAATGCCCTTCTATCAGTGTCTTCAAGGTAACTGAAAACATTAAAAGATTATAAACATATAAAGCTGGAAAGAGTGACATGGAATCTCATTTTATTACAGCCAGGTAGAGTTCTAATGAGAAAACTATTTTGCCCTATTACATTCCTTCAAGTCAACTTCCACTTATGGAGACCCAATCTTAGGGAAAAGGTGTTATTAAAAGGAGATCTGTATTACTTTCTAAAGTAAGTGTGTGTGACTTTCCAAGGTCACCCAGTGGTCATTCAATGTATGTGTGGGTATCTGAACTGCACACCATGCTAGCTCATTTAATTTCCAACATGAATATATATATATATATATATATATAATATTTTCTTAAAATCTGTGTGACTTAAAATATGACTTTGCAGTATACAAATATGCATTTCAGCAAATGGCAATCTGACTTAGGTCAAACTCTAATGAGATGGTGAACCTCATTGTCTACCTAGCATTTGTTAGGAATATGCTGATGCAGTATGCTGATGACACTCTATGCCTGCTAATGATAGCATGTCTCCTCTAAATGAATCCCTGGAGGAGGTAATGGGCTGGATGAGGAGAAACTAATTGAAACTAATTCCAGACAAAACAGATGTTTGCTAATCTGGGGATAGAGGTGTGTCAACCAGTCCTGGATGGGGTTACACTCCCCTGGTTTGGGTCCAGGTTACCAAGATTATTGCCTTCTCTTGTACAATCCTCCCTTCACACTTATGTTCTCTGCGGGACAGTTACTCCAACTAGACAAAATCCTACTGGCAACCACCACCCAGAGGACCTTTTCATTGGCTACTCCACAACTGTGGAACGACCTGCCGGTAGAGTTCCAACAGCTGGATCAGCTGTCGGAATTTAAGATACAAGTGAAGACCTATCTCTTCTGGCAAGCCTACCCAGACAGTTTTAATGGTGAATTCTAAACTCCACTATATGCCTTGTTTGTGTTATGTGTATTCGATAAGTATTTTATTGAGGTATGTTTTAATATGTGTATTTTATGGAGTGTATTAAAATGATTACGTGTTTGTGTTTGTTTATGTTTTAGTAATACTGTAACCTGCCTCAAGCCGTGAGGTGAGGCATGAAAGAAATAAAACTATTATTATTATTATTATTATTATTATTATTATTATTATTATTATTATTATTATTGGACAAAAAATAGAACAGGCCTCTTCCTGTGATTTTAACACATACTTTTTAAACAGTTTATCCAGGTGCCACATTTACAATAAAAAGGAGCTTATATTCTCTCAAGCTTGAGATGCACTTGTATCTATTTAGATACAATATGCATACTATTTTTCTATGAAACAACTGAATATATATATTCACCTGCATTTATGGGGAAATGTTTGGCCTCCTTAAGTTAGAATTTGTTCATACTAAATTAAACTCATGGCCAAGTATTAGACATTTATGTTATTCATGGATAGTTGGAAAATGGTAATCATTCTAACTCATATAACAAGGACTTTAAAAAAAAGAAGCAGTCAAACTATGAATAATATGTAATGCAAATCTAGTCTTGCTCACCAGGCATTAGTCTGTAACCTGTTGATTGCTGCTGCTTTTGTTGTCCTGAAACACATTTGAAGTGTGAATGTCCAGTTTTCTTTCTGTGCTTTGGTGTGGCGCATTCATTAGATGCTGACTTTGTGATGAATACAGGGGTACACCCAATTGCACCATTTACACACAAACACTTATACAGTGGAGTTGGCTGGAAGGCTTGGCCATTAATATAGTGCATACCATTGATCTCACAGCCTACAGCAATCATATCTGAAAACAGGAAAGAAAAAAAATAACTAAGCCTGGGCAAATATCAGTTAGGTTGTTGTTTCTAAACTATAATATAGTTAGATATGTCCTAGATGGCACTTGCTAATATCACAAATACTTGCAGTATCTGGGTATTTTAGAGTATTCAAAATGGGTTGGTACGTCTATGGAAGAACACATTCAGAAGTATTTATTTTCCATTTCCCACTACCTTAATGCTGTGACTATTACAAAGATTTAACAATTAAAACTACTAAGTATTTTGGAGCAGAGCGGACCCAAGGCATTTTGCTACTTGAAACAAATCAGAAAATGATGTTTTCATGTACTCCCAAAAATAAGGTGTGCAGAACACAAGGTCAACCTATTTTGATATCTAAGACAAAACCTTAGAATCACCTCTAACAGTAAAAATATAATTCCAATGGACTGACTGAATAAGTAACCATTTGCTGCCCTTTTATGACACATAATACAGAATCTCCTGCCTGGGTCTGCATAATATCAAGGCTCTGTTTTGAACCTACTTCTACTTCTTCTACACAAGTATATTGAATGGATGTGGCCACAAGACAATAGCACCAAGCACTGCTCAAAATCTCTCTTTGGAAGCCAAAATCTCTAAAAGTTTGTGGATTTCAGTCCAGAAATATACTTCTGGCTGCAAAATGAGAAACACCATCAAGGATAAATGTTAAAATAATTCAGCCCACATTGGTTCCTAAAGAGTACGGCCAATTCTTTCTCCACCCATATGAAGACTTTTTTTAATTTGGATAAGACATTGAAACTGGCTTCTTTAGGAGAAATGGGCCTGGTATAAATATTTAAAATGGAGTGATTTTAACTATGTTATAAACCTCGTTAAATTCCAAACTTCAAACTGCCTGTCAACAACTACAAATTCTGTTGTTGTTGTTATTCTTAATTAGGGGACACATAATAAATAATGCATGTCAATGAGTTGAGTTGATATGTTGAGTTTCCATGGATTCAGCAAGTCATGTCTCTCATCTGGATCTAGACCTTCCATTTTGGATACAGATCCAAGTTTGAGCAGGAAATAACGAATGTTGTTACAGACTGGGAACTTTCTGCCATAAACTATCATTGCAGATTTTATTTTAAAAAATGCAAAGAGGAAGCCGTACTTACATGCACACACCCCTCTTTCATAGCGGGGCTTATCTGCCGAGTAGTCACAGTATAGCCCTTTGTGAGGATCACAGACTTCAGCTTCATTACAGGTCTGTCCTGGCTGCTTGGCACACATCTTGCAGCATCCACAGCCATCTTTTACCAGGCTTACTCCGGGGCTACAGGTCGGTGCACGTGGGCATCTGCAGGGCCACTGGCATACTTCTCTGCGTTGATGAACCTCGAGGTTAACTGTGACTTTTCCTTCAGGCTTTCCCTGCTGCTGTCTGTTGCTTGGAACCCTGCAAGAAAGCTGTCACATACTTGGACTTACCTGAGAGCTGAAAAAAATCCAATGGCAACAGTATAAAACAGGGGTATAAAACTGGGGAACTGTGGGTTCTTTGCTGCTTGTGAACTAATCTGCATCTGTTTGAGTCCCTGTTATCAATATCTGGTCACCTGGGCTTCCAACACATGAATTATAGTACCGGTAGGTCCAAACAGGATTGGATAACATCCAGTTTGAGACCAAACAGGCAGAGTGAGCATCAGCATTCTTAAGTCTTGGAATCTCAGGATATTAATAAGCAGGTTGCCTATTAGTCTTTTAGGCTATTTATTACACAGTAATAGATACAAAGTGGGCCCAGGAGCAGCCGTTGAGTCTGCTTTTCTTTTTTTTTCTTTTTTGGTCATGTTAGGAGAGACTTGAGAAACTGTAAGTCGCTTCTGGTGTGAGAGAATTGGCTGTCTGCAAGGACGTTGCCCAGGGGACACCCAAATGTTTTGATGTTTTTTACCATCCTTGTGGGAGGCTTCTCTCATGTCCCCGCATGAGAAGCTGGAGCTGATAGAGGGAGCTCATCCACGATCTCCCCAGATTCGAACCTGCAACCTGTCGGTCTTCAGTTCTGCCAGCACAGGAGTTTAACCCAATGCGCCATTGAGTCTGCTACATCAGTAGTTATTCCCTTACAGTGTTTGGTGCAGCTGAGCCAATCAAGAGACTATGGTGGCAAGAGGGAGATTACTAAGCCAACAGAAAGAAACATCAAGAAGATGTCCCAAGATCTGATCCCAGATTATCTGCTTATTATTCCAGGCTATCTGGCAGTGTAGACTCATACAACCCAGTTCAAAGCAGATAATCTGGGATCAGATCCTGGGATACAGGGCAATGTAGATCCAGCCTAAGAAGCCTGTGCCCCACCTCAGGTCCAATTTCAGCTTTCCTGGCACTGACTAATGTTGTTCACACTGCTGCAGAGAAGCTTAGTTTGAATTGGACTACAGATTATTCATGTGTTTTTAAAAAATATTTCACTTGGCTGTATTCAAATGACTTTATGAGCCTAACCATACAGGGTTTTTTTCTGACACAGGGAAGACCATTCATGGGGCCACCTTAGGATACATACTTTAAAAAAATAATTATATTGGTTGAAGTTAATGGGATACAAAATATAAAAAGGAAAATAATATTTAGATAAACAAATACAGCTAATATAGGGATGTTGTTCCCCCAAACTAATACATTGCAATATTCTATCCAGTCTTTCCCCTCCTACCCCCCATCCGTGAACCCACTACCCATGACTTACAACACTACTCACTGGGAGTCCCATAGCTCATAAAATCTACCCTTATATCTACTTTAGGAAATACTATTTCCTAATGTATAACATTAACATCTAGTTTGATCTTACATTAGTGATCTATGATATATTTAGAAAAGGTATTATTTCAAGGGCTTATACTATATGCTTATTCTTAGTGTATATCTTTAATTTAGCATGCTTTGGAATTGGTCATTTGAAGAAAGATATGGGCTTACTGTGCAAGTATTAGTGCTAAGAAACATACATCTGAGGAAATCCAACCGCAGTAGGCAAAATGAATTAATTGCAGGCAATACAAATACTCTTTAACATTTTATTTGACCCTGAGATGGAGAGTCCTATGGGAAATATTAAGACGTAATATTTTTTAAAATAAATATTATAGCCCTTGTTATCCTCTATCAGCCCAAGCGAATAACAATGCTTTTTCTCTTTTCTTTTCTTTTCTTTTCACTGAAGTGGATTTCCTTATAGACTGTAATGTGTCCTGCCATAGCCAGGGACATCCCCCGTATTGCTTTATTTTATATATATATGATTATTATATTATATTATATTATATTATATTATATTATATTATATTATATTATATTATATATATGTCGTCCTTAAATACAACTGCCCTCCCATGCAGGAGGACAGTGTTGTTTCAAGGCTGGCAATGAAGCTCACTTCTTCAGCTTCTATAGGGAGCTTACAGTGGGAGTTAGCAAGAAACCATGATACAGAGACTTATTCTGCCCATGCAAACATTCACAGGTGCAGCATATTTCCATAAATTTTAATCGTACTATTTGGATATATTGCCCAGAGCAGAGGGGTTTGGGCAGCTTACTCAGAAGGCACTAATCTGGAGGCATAAAGCAGCGTGTGTGCATTTTCACTTCCAGCTGCATACCACGTACAAACCAAATATTTGAAAACCAGGCATATAGTTGGAAGTATCTCAGCCCAAATCTCAAAGATATTCCTGAGAGGAAGGAAAATGAAAATCCTGGCAGAAGAGGATTTATTTAAAAACTGTTTGCAGTTTCAGCAAATTGGTATTCCTATAAAACAAGATGTGCAAATCTTTCAAGGAAAATATGCTACAAGCATCAAAAGTTTTGATTTTTTTCCATTTCTAATTCCCAAAAGTTAAATTTCTGATATCTACACAAGGAGAAAACTGCTTTTGTCCTTTTCAATAAATTATCTGTTAGCTGTGCTGGAAAAGATTCCAGAGTTGATAATATTGGACCTCTTTGCTATTCTCATTTAGTGTATTGCTTATAATCAGCTTTTGCTTCCCAAGGGATACCTAAAAAAGCTTCAATTTAAGGGGGAAAACCCATAAAATATGAGAATGATATCCAACATAACAAAACATAACCAAAATGCAGAATAGGCTGAGAAACATATTCCTATCAAAGAAAACACCAACAACAAGATATCCCATTGTGTATATTCTTTTAGAAGAACTTGTTCATTGTAAAATGTTAAGCTCCCAAGAATTACAATAACTCAGCAAACAGAAAGAGTCTTAGGGTACAATCCAAATTCCCTGCTTAGTGTTAATTTATACACTGAAAATGAAATCCTACACATATATAACCACAAAAAGTCTCATAGAGTTTAGTAACACATGCTAGAGGTGCACATCAGATTGCATTGTTGGACCTAATTCAACAATGCACTTATGGTCACAAGTGAAACCAACAATGAACATATGGTTTCTTCTCTCTAGCCACTGTCCTCTGCACAGCTTGAAAAGACCTCTAGGTGGTTTCCTAGAATACAGACATCAATGGTGAGTGGGTTTTTGCCCCTTCCAGGTCTATTGGATTCCACCTTTCCACCTGCAGGAGTGCATTGTTATATTATGTCCCAAGAGTATATACTGGGACTAAGCCTACTGAACTCTAATGTCTGATTGCACATGCATTAGAGCAGTGGTTCTCAATCCGTGGGTCCCCAAGTGTTTTGGCCTACAACTCCCAGAAATTCCATCCAGTTTACCAGCTGTTAAGATTTCTAGGAATTGAAACCCAAAATATCTGGGGACCCACAGATTGAGAACCACTGCATTAGAGTGGCTTGTGAATTACCACCTGCACGTAGAATACATTGTATTGTGTTTTAACATTGCATTTCATGATTTTATATATATTACTTAAATTTTCACACTGTGACATACAACAATGTACCCTAGCTTAGTTATACCAACAGTATGTAAGTATGATATGAATTTAAAAGGTCCAAAAATGGTTTTAAAACCATCACATGATGCCAGACAGAATTTTTTTGTTCTAAAACTTGCCGCAAGAAGTTGCAATGTCAAAAAGATGCAGCCAAAATATAGTTCAGTTTCCTACTAAATTTCTAGAGGCCATAGGTTTCTAATATGAATATATTAAATCTACTTGTTTACAGTCTAAATATTATTTCCCCCCTGTGTTTACTTCTCACAAATATAATACTCTTTTTTTTTCAGTCCACTCCATTATGGATAATGTAAAAAATAGGAGTGTTGTGCAAGCATATTTTAAAGACAAGGTATACTAAGTCAAATACTTCTGATATAAATCAGTAATAAAATGTAACCTTTTTCTTTAGTTGAGAGGTGGGGAGCAAAATAGTTAATTTGAAAGCTTTCTGTATTAAATGATATCTGAAGCAATGTTATATAAATCTCATTTTTGTGTAGTTTGGGATATCATTCAGAGTAGATCATGTTTTTAAAATAAATACCAAAAATATTACTTTTGTAAGACAATCAGCTTATGCCTTGAAATACAAGCAGAGTCTTATTAGGAGGAAGATAATCCTGTACCTTTGGGTGGAAAATAATTCATATTTCTACAGATGCAAAGTTTATAAAGATTTCCCAGAGGCTGTCAGTTAAAACCAAAAAGACAAGCCAATCTCTGAGGACCTGGTTGCAGCCTGAAGTGAGAGAATGGTGTCAAACATGCAAGTTATATAATAAATCAAATAGAAACAAAACCCATTCACCGTTCCCTGAAGTCAAATTCACTTGCACTTTTGTCCTGAAGAGGAAATCTTTCTGGAAGAACTTACCTGTTGAGCAGAAGCAATTATAAGGATGGCGGGGATGAAAAGCCGCTGCATGTTCCTGTGAAGGCAGAAGTGAAAAACAGAGAGCGAGTGAACAGGCTGAGCAGTGTCAAAGCCAACTCCATGCACAAAGTCTCCTCTGTCTCCCAGGCAAACCTACTCTCCTCTACTCGCTCCCAAAGACACACGTATTCATATTTGGAATCCTTCTCAGAGAACTGGCTTCATCCTGGGTCTTTCAACTGGTTCCCTTGAAGTTTTTCCTTGGTTAACATAGTACGATCTACATTACGTTGGGGAGACGGAAAGAGGCCGCAAGTGGAAAAAGTTTTAAAAGCCTTGTTCTAGGGGGATTTCAATTCCATTTGGTTTGTGATCTGCAAAACAGAAAACTATCAGGTCAGTTGTAGAAAGACTTCAAAAAGATGCTTCTGGCCAATGTTTTCCAAAGGTGTTTGTACAGAAAATATGTGTTAACAAATGACGGGGGGGGGGGGGGGGCTTTTCCATAGTTTTTGGTTTTATTTTTTCCTCTTGCCTCTTCTCATTCAATTGAATCTCTGTCCTTGAACAACATAGCGATAGGGCAACTTTGCTTCCAATTTTTTGCAAAGTTGCCCTATTTCTCCAGCTCAAGAAAGCCGCTGCTAAAGACTAGTTTTAACAACCCTATACTAACTTGATCTGACTTGAAATGAAAGTGATTGTCAATAATTTGGGGAAGCAATGCTCTCTTTATAGAGGCGGATGAGCTCCCTCTATCAGCTCCAGCTCCTCATGCGCGGACATGAGAGAAGCCTCCCACAAGGATGATAAAAACATCAATCATCCAGGCATCCCCTGGACAATGTCCTTGCAGACGGCCAATTCTCTCACACCAGAAGTCACTCCTGATGCGACAAAAAAAAAAGCCCATAGGTAAAGGTAAAGGTTTTCCCCTCATATTAAGTCCAGTCGTGTCCGACTCTGGGGGTTGGTGGTCATCTCCATTCCTAAGCCGAAGAGCTGGCATTGTCCACAGACATCTCCAAGGTCATGTGGTCTGCATGACTGCATGGAGCATTGTTAACTTCCTGCCAGAGTGGTACCTATTGATCTACTTACTTTTGCATGTTTGGCAGAAGCTGGGGCTAACAGCAGGAGCTCATACAGCTCCCCCTGGATTCTTACCTGTGACCTTTCAATAAGCAAGCTCAGCAGCTCAGCGGTTTAACCCACTGCACCACTGGGGGATCCTTATAGCCCATAGAAGGAGGAAATGTAAGAGGTTGACTTTGAAAATGACACAGAAGCTGAGGATAGTGCAAAATGGCGCAACTAAGCTACTAACCACAAACAGAAATCAAGCAAAACCAGTTTTACAGGAATTGCATCAGTTGTCAATATCCTTCCAATCCAAATTCGAGGAGTGAAATATTACCTTCAATAAATATTTAAATAATGCATGCATGCATATTGTTTAAGCCTTGTTTAGAATGGGGCTAGGAGGTGCAGCCAAGGAGTCACATGTGACTTCTAAAACTTTTCATGCTGATGCTCAACCCCTCCAAATTCCCCCTCCTATGAATTTTCTGACCATTAACATGGGTTAATTGCATCTTATGGACGCTTCCAGACATGGCAATTCATCCTGCTACCCACCATATACACCTACAACCTGTAATATCAAAATACCTATTTTTAAAAATACCAAATATGCTGCAAATTGCACAGGTGGAGGAGAGGTCACACACATGCATGCATGATGTGTAACGTGTACCCATGCACAGTTCACACCGATGCATATCTATGTGCTCATATATATTGCAATATGCACAACACCATATGCACTCCTCAGTTTCCACAACCTTGACCTGAGTATGGACATTATGTATCAGACAAAATGTCCAACTGCTTCTATAGAGATATTTATGCATAAGTAGGACCTGTGGTGGCATTTGAGTTGCCATAGGTTGGAAGCAACCACAAGTCACAAAACAATAACAAAAGGCACCAATCCAATTCTGGCCATCTTTTTCCCTTTGCTTGAGAGAAAACGAGGCACTATTTGCAAATTTCTCAATCCTCCCTAAAGTTTGTGTGTGTGTTTGCTTGTTTGTTTGTTTGTTTATATCCCGCTTTAACTCTCCATATGGAGACTCAAAGTGGATCCTAATCAAAAACATTACAACTTCAAATATTCAAATATACAATAAAGCAGTAGATCATTATATATTATTATATATTATCAGGAGTAATTATATTTAATGCATTAGTATTACTGTATTACAATATTATTATATGTGATGTATTATTATTAGCATTATATTGTATTACATTATAATATTATGATCAATATTATATGTACATACAATATATTATATTATTAGCTTAGCACAATATTAGTATTTTATATTACTATATTGTACTATACCACTATACTGCAATATCATTAGTAATATTACATGTAATATATAACATACAATTATTATATTGTATTAGTGTTATATTGTATTACATTATAATATTATTATCAATATTATATGTATATACAATATATTATATTATTATCATGGTACAATATTAGTATTATATATTACTATATTGTTGCTGGGGGGAGGGGCTCCCAACTGATGGCACAGGAGACATGGTGGAACTGTGTCTTCCTGGCTTCCCCTTCTTCACTCTCTTCGGCTTCTTCGCTCCCATGATACATAAAAGTTGGAATTGGGAGGGCAAGAATTTATTCCCCAACTGCCTCCCAAATATGGGAATGTTCCTAAGCTATTCCCACCACCAGGAGATCAATGTCATTTTCCACACATGGTGATATCTTTGGAAGCACCACCACCCTCATATGTATCGTAAGTGAAGTGTGCCACATCACTTACTATACATATGCACATGTATACATACGTTGTGCTCAAGCTCCAGCGCCCCGACAAGGCGGTGATCCTTTGCTGGAGCACCTCAATGATGTCATGAGCGAAACCGTGAAGGGCCACCCAAGACGGGACGGTTGTGGCAGAGAGGTCAGACCAAGCGTGATCCCTGTGGAAGGCAATGGCAAACCACTCCAGTATCCTTGCCAAGAAAACTAAATGGACCAGTACAACCAGAGATATGTCGGTATGCCATTGGAAGATGGGACTCCCAGGTCGGAAGATGGCCACAATGCTACTGGGGAGGAGCAGAGGATAAGTTCAACTAGCCCCAGATGTGATGACGCAGCTAGCTCAAAGCCGAAAGGAAGGCTAGCGGCCGACGGTACTGGAGGTGAACGACGAATCCGATGCTCTAAAGATCAACACACCATAGGAACCTGGAATGTAAGATCTATGAGCCAGGGCAAATTGGATGTTGTTATTGGTGAGATGTCAAGACTAAAGATAGACATTCGGGGGGTCAGCGAACTGAAATGGACTGGAATGGGCCACTTCACATCAGATGACCACCAGATCTACTACTGCGGACAAGAGGAACATCGAAGAAATGGAGTAGCCTTCATAATTAATAAGAAATTCGCTAAAGCGGTGCTTGGATACAACCCAAAAAATGACAGAATGATCTCAATTCGAGTGCAAGGAAAGCCTTTCAACATCACAGTGATCCAAATATACGCCCCAACCACAGCTGCTGAAGAACCAGAAGTAGATCAGTTCTATGAGGATCTGCAGGACCTACTGGATAATACACCAAAAAGAGACATTATTTTCATTACAGGAGACTGGAATGCCAAGGTGGGAAGTCAAATGACAACAGGATCACAGGCAAGCATGGTCTGGGAGAACAAAATGAAGCGGGACGCAGGCTGATAGAATTTTGCCAGGAAAACTCGCTGTGTATAACGAATACTCTCTTCCAACAACCTAAAAGACGGCTTTACACATGGACCTCACCAGATGGTCAACACCGAAATCAGATTGACTACATCCTTTGCAGCCAAAGGTGGCGGACATCCATCCAGTCGGTGAAAACAAGACCTGGGGCTGACTGTAGCTCAGATCACGAACTTCTTATTGCCCAATTTAGAATAAAACTAAAGAGATCAGGGAAAATACACAGACCAGTTAGATATGATCTCACTAACATTCCTAGCGAATATACAGTGGAAGTGAAGAACAGATTTGAAAGACTAGATTTAGTAAACAGAGTCCCAGAAGAACTATGGACAGAAGTCCGAGACATTGTTCAGGAGGCGGCAACAAAGTACGTCCCAAAGAAAAAGAAAACCAAGAAGGCAAAATGGTTGTCTGCTGAGACACTGGAAGTAGCCCAAGAAAGGGGGAAAGCAAAAGGAAACAGGGATAAGGGGAGATATGCCCAATTAAATGCGCAATTCCAGAGGTTAGCCAGAAGAGATAAGGAACTATTTTTAAATAAGCAATGCATGGAAGTGGAAGAAGACAACAGAATAGGAAGGACAAGAGACCTCTTCCAGAAAATTAGAAACATTGGAGGTAGATTTCAGGCAAAAATTGGTATGATAAGAAACAAAGATGGCAGGGACCTAACAGAAGCTGAAGAGATCAAGAGAAGGTGGCGAGACTATACAGAAGATCTGTATAGGAAGGATAATAATATTGAGGATAGTTTTGACGGTGTGGTGAATGAATTAGAACCAGACATCCTGAGGAGTGAGGTTGAATGGGCCTTAAGAAGCATTGCTAACAACAAGGCATCAGGAGACGACGGGATCCCAGCTGAACTGTTTAAAATCTTAAAAGATGATGCTGTCAAGGTGATGCATGCCATTTGCCAGCAAATATGGAAAACACAAGAATGGCCATCAGACTGTAAAAAATCAACTTATATCCCCATACCAAAAAAGGGAAATGCGAAAGACTGCTCAAACTTCCGTACAGTGGCCCTTATTTCTCATGCCAGTAAGGTAATGCTCAAGATCCTGCAAGGAAGACTCCAGCAATACATGGAGCAGAGTTGCCAGATGTTCAAGCTGGGTTTAGAAAAGGCAGAGGAACGAGAGACCAGATTGCCAATATCCGCTGGATAATGGAGAAAGGCAGGGAGTTTCAGAAAAACATCTACTTCTGCTTCTTTGACTATTCTAAAGCCTTTGACTGTGTGGATCATAATA